AAAAAAACAGCATTTCAGTTTTACAGAGTGAAAAGAGTTCTGGAGATGAGTGGTGGCAATTGTCACACAGTATTATGAGTATATTTAATCCATTGTTTGTTTTTGAGACAGAGCCTCATTATGTCACCCTTGGTAGAGTGCCATGGGGTCACAGCTCACAGCAACCTCAAACTCTTGGGCTTAAGTGATTCTCTTGCCTCAGCCTCCCAAGTAACTGGGACTACAGGCACCCATCAACACGCCCAGCTTTTTTTTGTTGTAGTAGTCATGGTTGCTTTAGCAGGCCCGGGCCAGGTTTGAACCCGCTAGCCTTGGTGTATGTGGCTGGTGCCCTACCCACTGAACTACGGGCACCACTTGAACTGTATATTTAAAAATGATTAAAGCAGTGCCTGTGGCTCAGTGGGTAGAGCGCCAGCCCCATATACCAAGGGTGGCAGGCACCTGTAGTCCTGGCTCCTCGGGAGGCTGAGGCAGGAGAATCACCTAAGCCTAGGAGTTAGAGGTTGCTGTGAGCTGTTGATGCCACGGCACTCTACTGAGGGATAAAGTGAGACTCTGTTTAGAAAAAAAAAAAAATGATTAAGATGCTGAGTTTTACATTGTTACCTGGGGCAAGACATAAGACTTGTACCTCTTTTTTTTTTTTTTAAACTAGTAAAGAAGAAAAACATGAGCCAGTTTCTCTGCCTGAATTAACCAAAAGGCTTACAGAAGCAAATGAGAGAATGGCTAAGTTTCCTGAGAGTATTAAGGTAAGATTTATAGCAGCTCGTTTGGTGAAACATTACCTTTTTGTGTTATCACTTGACTAGACCACATTCTTAAAAGTTCTTCGGTGCGGCTTCTGTGGCTCAGTGAGTGGGGCGCCAGCCCCATATACTGAGGGTGGCAGGTTCAAGCCTGGTCCTGGCTGCTCGGGAGGCTGAGACAGGAGAATCGCCTGGGCCCAGGCGTTGGAGGTTGCTGTGAGCACTGTGACACCACAGCACTCTACCAAGGGCAAGAAAGAGAGATTTTGTCTCTACCAAAAAAAAAGAAAAGTTCATCTATTTCTCTGTTCAGTTTCTAAATCTCAACCTCATTTGCTTATGCTTAGAAATTTAGAAACCGGTTACCTTTGGCTAAGCTAGAATGTTTTGCTTGATCACACAAGCAATTTTATACTTCAGTCTTCAGAAAACCCAAACAAATTTAATAGTTGGCAGATAAAAGTAAAAATTTAAACTGGTATTTGACAGCTTACAGATGGATAGATCTAATTGGCTGTGGTCCAAGTATTAATGGAAGCATCATCATTTGGGTTGATTTGAATGGGGCTCTGGAAGAAAATTGTATCATTTGGGAAGGACAACCCAGAAGCCATCCTAGTTTTGAGTATTATCTCTGATGACCAACAAGAAAAGACATTGCTTTATAACACAACTGGCCCAGCTGTGTCTGAGACATGTGAGCAGATGAGTCAGAGTCACTGGTTCCTTCTGTGCAGGTGTTTGTGGCTTTTGCAAATCCTTATTCATCCTTATATCATCTTTCAGGCCTGGCCCTTCCCTGATGTACTGGAGTGCTGCCTCGTCCTGCTTCACATCAAGTCCCAGTATCCTGGCTTTGTGACCCAGGAAATGCAGCAACAAGCCCAAGAGCTTCTTCAGAAATACGGCAACACTAAAGCTTACCAAAGACACTGCCAGACCTTCTGCAGGTGAACTTTCAAGGACCTTGAAGAAACTGTGCCAAATTCTAAACATTTGACACCTTTCACCTCTGCAGTTACCTCACCAGACATTCACTCTGGTCTCTGGATGTTTTTTACAGTTATCCAAAATAATAGAAAAGAGGGTTAAGCGCAGATCAACTCTGTCTATCCTTAGACACCATGGAATCTAACTTTGGACTCAGTTGTGGTTTTCTACTGGAAGAGATCATGAAAAGCCAGCAGTAGTTATTCAGAACTAACAGGCGCAGAGTGGTTGATTCTCTCTAGAGCCTTAGGCAGGTTTCACCCAAAGAGTGGAGCTTTTGTAATCACCCAAAGTGTTACGTTCTTATGAATACTTCGCCAGGTTATAAACATGTCATTCTTGAGTTAGAGTTGCTGCATTTCATGATTATTGAATAGGTTTTTTAAATTATTTTTGTTAACCTGGGTGCGCCCTCTCCTTTTTCAAAGATTGAAGTTTGAATGTGAAGTAGGCCTTACCCATCATGTTGAGTCTTTATGTTGTCTGAACTTAGATTGAAACTTTGGTCTTACTGTTTTGTGTAATTGCTTATTTGGACCAATCACTTACTAAAAGCTTTAGAACAAATAGCTGATCCACATGTGTTTTCCCTTCACTTCCCATTTATAAGAAATGATTGATAGCAAGAAAGTAACTTCAGACAAAACTACTGTTTCGGTGGTTCTTGAAGATACAGATACTCTTTGAAGAAAAAATGCATATTCCTAATTTTGCATTTATGCATTTATGACTTTTGGATTATTGGACTTCAGCTTTAGCACAATGGGACCCTAAATACTATTTAATTCCAAGTCCTTATTCTCCTTTGGTTTTTAAATAGTGGAATAATGTCAAGAAAAAATGTTATCATATCATATGCTGTTTTTTTTGTTGCAGTTGACATTTGCTAGACAAGAAAATCATAGTCTAGGCTTGGCTAGGGTGCCAGCCACATATACCAGAGCTAGTAGGTTCAAATCCAGCCCAGGCCAGGCCCACCAAACAACAATAACAACTACAACCAAAAGATAGCCAGGCATTGTGGCAGGCTCCTGTAGTCCCAGCTGCTTGGGAGGCTGAGGCAGGAAAATTGCTTAAGCCCAGTTTGAGGTTGCTGTGAGCTGTAACACCACAGCACTTTACCCAGGGCGACAGCTTGGACTCTGTCTCAAAAAAAAAAAAAAGAGGGGCAGTGCCTGTGGCTCAAAGGAATAGGGTGCCAGCTCCATATACTGGCCAAACTGGGTTCAAACCTAGCCCCTGCCAAAAACTGCAAAGAAAAAATAATATTTTTTTAAAAAGGAGAAGAAAGAAAAAGAAAATCATAGTCTAGGATAGAGGTAGAAGGGAGCACTTCTTCAGATAATTGAGCTACTTTCTTTTGGGATTCATTGTGAAGGCTTTTCTGCTTGTCTATTTTTCAATAAATTCCTAGAGTTGGGGTTGTTGTGGATGGCAAGAATTAATTCCTTAATAGGAACATCTTCCATGAAGGAAAAAGTTAGAGAAAGTTGTCAAAGACATTTCTATGTGCTTTAGCTTTAGAGTTTAATAAACTCTACAAAAGGGAATATTACAGAATTTAGATTCTCATAGTTCTCACACAGTTACGTGAACTTTAGGAAGAGGAGGCATTATTACTAGGGGTGGAGAATCTTTTCTTTTTTTTTGAGACAGAGTCTCACTGTGTCACCCTTGGTAGACTGCTGTGGCATTACAGCTCACAGCAACCTCAAATTCTTGGGCTTAAGCAATTCTCTTGCCTCAGCCTCCCAAGTAGCTGGGACTACAGGCGCCTGCCACAATACCCAGCTGTTTTTTTGTTGCAGTTGACATTGTTGTTTAGCGGGCCCAAGCTGGGCTCAAACCCACCACCCTTATAAACTTCACTTAGAGACAGAGAAAAAAAATATATATATATACACACACGCACAGGCTACTTGAGCAAAGCGTAGTACATATAACTAGAACTCTGAACTTCACCACCTTGGATGGAGGCATACTGCATACTGCTCAGTCATTGCTTTGGAAGAACAAGATTACTGCTTGAAAACTAAGCAATAGGCTCAATGCCTGTGGCTCAAGCAACTAAGTCGCCAGCTACATACACCTGAGCTGGTGGGTTCGAATCCAGCCCAGGCCAGCCAAACAATGACGGCTGCAACCAAAAAAATAGCCAGGCATTGTGGCGGGCGCCTGTAGGCCCAGCTACTTGGGAGGCGGAGGCAGGAGAATTGCTTGAGCCCAGCAGTTGGAGGTTGCTGTGAGCTGTGATGCCACAGCACTCTACCCAGGGTGACAGCTTGAGGCTCTGTCTCAAAAAAAAAAAAAAGAAAGAAAACTAAGCAATAAAACTACCCAATAGCAGAAAAATAGCAAAAATGACAATTTAGTTTCTAAGTCCTCTTTCCAGTATTGTACTCAAGCTGTTATGATTTGAATAAATGATTTTCATTTTTATCTCCCTAATTATCAGAACCACAAAGAACCAAAGCATCAGGACGGTGCCTGTGGCTCAGTGAGTAGGGCACTGGCCCCATATACAGAGGGTGGCAGGTTCAAACCCAGCCCCACCCAAACTGCACCCAAAAAATAGCTGGGCGTTGTGGCAGGCACCTGTAGTCCCAGCTACTTGGGAGGCTGAGGCAAGAGAATCGCCTAATCCCAAGAGCTAGCAGTTGCTATGAGCTGTGATGCCACCATCACTCTACTGAGGATGACAAAATTAGACTTTGTCTCAAAGAAAAAAAAGAACCAAAGCCATCAGAGTTGCCTTTCTGAGGGGAAAGAATATATCATTAATCAATTTTTTTGGTCCTTTATCCCCATCCAAAGTAATTTTATCTCTCTCCTACTTCCACAGTAGTCCAAGCCACCATCCCATTACCCAGACTAGACTTCCAATATTTCTCTGAACTCCTCTTTTTACTAAATCTCCATTCTTCATCTAGCCATGGCTATTCTAAATTAAAAATCAGACTTTCCTGTTTAAAAACCTTATAGTAGTTTCCTATTGGTCTGGTCTTCAATAAAAGTCTTGAAAGTGAAAAAAAAAAAAAAAAAAAACTTGAAAGTGGCTTATAAGGCCCTGCCTCACCCCAGCCTTACCTTTTGGCCTCCTGTCAAGACATTCTCATCCTGGCTTCTAGATTCCAGCCACACTGGTCTCATAGCTGCTGGACCCCTGCCAAGTTCTCTTGTCACCTCAGGGTTTTGTCCATGTTATTCCTCTCCTCATTCATCTTCCTCACATCTATCAACTTAAATGCCCCTTCTCTAAAAAGACTGTCCCTGAACGCCAACCTTAACCTGTTTTATATTAATACTTTATAGCTCACGAATTGTATTGTGTAAAGCATTCACTGTTTGGCAACACAGATAGAGTATAAACCCCGAGGGGGGAGATTATGTCTGCCATGTACTCTAATCCCTATTTATAGCGTCTAGTACTTAGTAGTTCCTTGATAAAAATTTGTTGACCAAGTAGCAAGAATAATCATTGATAGGTTAGAGTAAATGATTGATAGGGCTCTAAATTGAACTCATTCTTACCAGTATGAGCTGACAGCTAGGCTTGTAGTTGGTATTCTTCCTTAACGGAGCGGAATACTGGAATTCAAGAACATCTGGCAGTAAATACAGAATGACTGAATTATGTTCTAAATTATTTTCTTGGTTATCCTACAGCACCATCCCTTTCTGAGGATAAATACTAACACAAGGTGAAGTTCTTGCCATTCTAATAGACTTGTCTTGTTTAAGCACCACTCTAATAAGCTCTCTTACCTTTCCAATGCAGTTAGGAGACTGAGTTCCTCAACCCTTTATCTCCACATTTCTCCTGACATGCAAAAAGAGTCCCACTAATTACCAAATTAATCCACCATGAATAATGGAATGCCCCCAAGAAACAGAATTAAACTGATTTCTTAGAAAGGCCCCACAATCAGCAGAGAACATGATGTGCAAAACCAACCCCATTTTCCCAGGTGCTTATGAAAAGCTTCCCACCAAGTAAGACATTTTGTATGCAAGCCAACTTGTACAACGGAGGCAAGATGCTTGCGTGTCACTGACCATCTTCCAGATGCCGTCTTCCTTCCAGAGCTAGCAATTCATAGCTATGAAAGAACAAACCTTCATGCCAATGGTTAAAAAGAAATCTTTATTTTACAAAATTAAAAACATAAATAATATTTACAAGCATCTTAAATACCAGCTTATAATACTTGATATCTTTGAATCATTTCAAATTGAGTTTTCCATAACCTTTAAAATTCAAGACTATTCTTCCACTTCAGTGAGTTACCAATTTTTACTTCCACCATTCCAAAAGAGTTTTTGGTTTCAAAATTATCCATACCATAGTCATTCAAAAAAATACAGTGTATTTTTTAAGTGACTACTAGCTTTAAAAAAAAAAGTCCTGAGCTTCTTACCCCAGTTGTGGGATAGTACTCCAAGAGAACTCTATAAACCAAATTCCTTTACTGCCCTGTTTACATGTAACCACTGTAACTTTTTAAAAGACTTACATTTCTGATACATTAATCCATCTCCCTAACTTCTCATGTTTGCTGAAAGAAACATCAGGGAAAATGGAAAAAAGAGGTGGGAGACTACAGATGACCATCTGAAATCACATTACTGACAATAATCACAGACTTATGACCCAAAAATCTGATCTTACTAATTTCCTTCAGGATCAAATCCAGGATACTTTATTACATGAATATTAATTACAATGATTTCAGATGATGCATATGTGACAGCAAATCCCAGTGGCACAATCAAACATAGACATAAAAGACGCTTCAATGGTCAGCTTAATACCCACTCTGGAGTTTCTCATGAATGAAGAATAGACAGCTTCCGCATCTGGTCTTCAGATTTCAGTACCAAGCAATTCATTTCCATATAGTAATACATAAAGACTACCAAAGTATGAGGAAAACAAATGTCCTCGACGAGGGTGAGAGGAGGAAAAGAAGACTCAGTATCTATAACCCATTATACAAGATCACCATTTTGTTCCATTTTCCTTGGAAGCCCTCAGCTCAGCTGAGAATCACAGCAAAAATCTTTATTATCAGAGATTAGCAACAAATTTAAAAGAAAAAGAATGACAACAGGTTAAGAGTTATATACATTTTACTAGTATGTTTCAGACTTGTCCTGTATATTTAAAAAAGTGTCAAATGAGCCATATGCTGGTGGCAGGAGGCTACCGGAGAGGAGAGGCTCGGGGTTGAGGAATAGGGAAGACTTGTTTACAAATTCAGAGCAAACTCCCCTCTTCTGGATCTAAAATAAAGACATCTTTTGTCTTCAGTAAAACACAAGTCTTTCTGCTCAATGCAGATAGTAGGTACAGTTTGCTCAAAAGAAGCATTTTATCTTGGGGAAGAAGATAAGCGCACAGCACAGTAAGCACCACTCTGGAATCAGGCCCAACCTGCAGGGCCCACTGCCATCACTGCTGTATGTTGTTGATAATCGCCAGGATGCTCATCTTCTCCTGGGCAGAGTCCACATCCTCATTCTGCTTCTGGGCCACTCCTGTGCCTAAGCCATAGAGCCGCCCACAGTACTTGGCATCATCAATACTGTCCTCAAAAAACAACTGTAGAATGGGACAGAGAACCATGGTAAGAATCATGCCAGGAGTCACGCTAAGTATCAACACTGCTACATCAGTACCTCCCTAGCTCTCTTAAAGCCCTGAAAATCTAGCAAACTAGAAAGAAACCAACTTAGCAAAGAAAGACTCACAGTTTTCCTATACATAGTATTTTCATGCTCCTTTCTCAAAAGGAGAAAGGATCTGCCTTTGGCTCTCCAATCTGAACAGACTTATACTTGCCATGACTTCTTTTACTGGTTCTCTGTGCTGCTGCAGCTTAGTACAACTGCTCTCTTCTCTTTAACAGGCAGGGTAATAACTAAGGGCTTGAGCTCTGAACTCAGACTGACTCATTTTGTGACCTTAACAGAATTACACCAATTTTTTTTAAGCCATGCTTCCTCATCTATAAAATGGGGTAATATGGTGGGACACAGAAGCTCATGCCTGTAATCCTAGCACTCTGGAAGGCCAAGGCAGGTGGATTGCATGAGCTCATGAGTTTGAGACCAACCTAAGTGAGTGAAATTCTGTCTCTACTAAAAATAGAAAAAACTAGTTGGGCATCATGGCAGGCACCTGCAGTCCCTGAGCCACTCAGGAGGCTGAGGCAAGAGGATCTCCTGAACCCAAAAGACTGAGCTTGCTGTAAGCTATGATGATGCCACAGCACTCTACCCAGGACAACAGAGTGAGATTCTGTCTGCCAAAAGAAAAAGTGGAGGAGGATAATAAAACAGTTATTATGAGGAGTGAAATAATGGGCATTAGGCACTTACAGCAGGGTATCTCAACCTTGGCACTTCTGGGGCAGGATAATTCTTTAGTGAGCCCAACTATATCAGGGGCTATTTAGTATTCCTGGCCAGCAGCACAGCGTCCTCCCACACTAGGTTGTGACAACCAAACATGTCTCCAAACATCACAAAAGGTACCTGGGTCGGGGTAGGGAAGGTGCAAAATCATCCCCAGTTGAGAACCACTGACCTAGAACATTTCCCAGCACATGGTTTATAATTAAGAGTGACAAAGAGAAAACATACTCTCCACCCCTCTCCACAGTCTTTGCTCTGAAAAGGAGATCCATGTCTCTGTTAACAGTTACTGGTTCCTCAAAAGTGTCAACAAAATCACCATTTTAATTTTTCAAAGTAGTTTCTCCCTCTACCTTTTCAAATATATTTTAAAACCTGAGTAAAGAAATTCACTAGAGTCTTTTCACTAATGATTTATAGTAAACTCAGCATTATATTTAATAATTAACAGAACTTTGGGCTGCGCCTGTGGTTCAGTGGGTAGGGCACCAGCCCCATATACTGAGGGTGGCAAGTTCGAACCCAGCCCCAGCAAAACTGCAACAAAAAATAGCCAGGTGTTGTGGTGGGCATCTATAGTCCCAGCTACTCAGGAGGCTGAGGCAAGAGAATCGCCTAAGCTATGCAGTTGAGGTTGCTGTGAGCTGTGACACCACAGTACTCTACCAAGGGTAATAAAGTAAAACTGTCTCTCAAAAAAAATAAATAATTAACAGAACTTAGCATAACCTAAGTAAATGATCTAACAAAAGTATTCCTATTATGGAAATCAGGGAGCAGGCCTGGTGGTGATGCCTATAATCCTAGCACTTTGGGGAGGCTGACAGAGGATAACTGCTTGAGCCCAAGAGACCAGCCTGGGCAACATAGCAAGACCCCTCTCTACACAAAGTTGTTAAAACCTAGCCAGGTATGGTGACTCATGGCTATAATCCCAGCTACTCAAGAGGCAGAGGCAAGATTGCTTGAGCCCAAGAGTTCAAGGTTACAGGAAGCTATGACTGTGCCACCAAACTCCAGCCTGGGTGACAGAGAAAAAAAATGGAAATAGAAAGGGAAAGAACAAAAGGAAAAGTAAAGAAAAGAAATCCAAAGAAAAAAACAGCAAATAATTAAAAGGATTCGAGCTGCCTAAGTATTCTTCAGTATACCAAAGTCCAGAAGTGTACTTGGGGTCTTGTACACTTCTGGACTTAGGTATACTGAAGAATACTTAGGCATTCTAGGCCAGGTGCGGTGGCTCATGCCTATCTATGATCTCAGCACTCTGGGAGACCGAGGCAGGTGGACTGCTTGAGCTCAGGAGTTCAAGAGCAAGACCCCATCTCTAAAAACAGCCAGGCATTGTGGCAGGTGCCTGTAGTCCGAGCTACTAGGGAGGCTGAGGCAAGAAAATGGTTAGGCCCAAGAGTTTGAGCTTGCTGTTAGTTGTGTGCCATGGCACTCTACCGAGAGAGACAAAACTCTGTCCCCCCTAAAAAAAGAATACTTACGTATTCTAAAGTGGCTTTCACTTCAGAAAGCTGCTTTTGCCTAACTACGTTTGACATGTTGAACGCCATAATAAACAAAAAACAACTACTCTCAACGAGACCATCAACATCCAAAAGAAACTAAACGTTCAGCCAACTGCACCGAGGCTAGCAGGTTCATACCTGGCCCGGGCCACCTAAACAACAATGACAACTGCAAATAGCCGGGCATTGTGGCAACACCTATAGTCCCAGCTACTAGGGAGGCTGAGGCAAGAGAATTGCTTAAACCCAAGAGTTTGAGGTTGCTGTGAGCTATGATGCTGTGGCACTCTACCGAGGGTGACATAATGAGACTGTCTCAAAAAATTAATTAATTAAATATTAAAAAAAAAAAGAAAGAAACTATAAATGTTCAACAAACCTCAGCCCACAAAGATCACGCACCTCCTCAGCCTTCAGGAAGTTCCTGCAGAGAGTCCCTCACATTCAAGAACGCTTACCTCTTTCATCCTGAAGAATGCCATTCCTGTCAGCAAGGAGTCTGAGCCTGCCTGGTGCTGCCTTCCAATTCTCTGCAAATCCAACTGATCAGCAACTTCCTGAAGACCTCCCTGGAGATGTAAGGAAAACAAAGATAATATTACATACAAATTCAACATAACCACCAATGGAGTCAAGTAAGTCCATTTGCAAGTTCACTTCATTCTGATGGCAAGGAGTGAGAACAAGCTATTTCCAGTCCTTATTAAATCCCTTTTAGCCCTTAACTCTTCTTCCTTTTTTCCAAATGGTACATTGTGTTGCCTTCTACTTTTCGTTCCTTTCTTTTCTATATTGTTAATTTTGCCAGACCGCTGCCTTTAAAATCAAAATTACTGAGGCTGGGCTTGATGGCCCATGCCTGTAATCCCAGCATTCTGGGATGCCAAGGCAGGTGAATTGCCTGATCTCACAAGTTCAAGACAAGCTTGGGCAACAGCGAGACCCTATCTCTAAAAATAGCCAGGCAAGGTCGTGCACAGTAGCTTACGCCTGTAATCCTAGCACTCTGGGAGGCTGAGGCAGGTGGATTGTCTGAGCTCACAGGTTCAAGACCAGCCTGAACAAGTGTGAGATCCCATCTCTAAAAAATAGTTGGATGTTGTGGTGGGTGCCTGTAGTCCCACCAACTTTGGAGGCTGAGGCAAGAGGATCCCTTGAATCTAAGAGTTTTAGGTTGCTGTGAACTATGACACCATGGCCGGCACTCTACAGAGGACAAGAAAGTAAGACTCTGTCTCAAAAAAAAAATTAAAATTAAAAATAGCCAAGCATTGTGGCAGGTGCCTGTAGTCCCAGCTAATTGGGAGGATGAGGCAAGAGGATCACTTGAGCCCAAGAATTTGAGGTTGCCGGGAGCTATGGCACTCTATTGAGGGTGACAAAGTGAGACTCTGTTTCAAAAAAATAAATAAAAATAGAATAAAATAAAATAAAAATTACTGAAAAACAAGAATAAGGAAATAGTAAATGCTAATCCAATTCTAGATAGTAAATCTCTATATTAACAATTTATTAGGGCAATGAGCTCTTAAAATGTCCAGGATTAAAAGCCCCTCTGAGAGCCAAGCATATGCTTGTAGTCTCAGTTCTCAGAAGGTTGGGGCAGAAGGATCACTTGAGCTGAGGAGTTCAAGGCCCACTTGGGCAACACAGCAAGACCATTATCTCTTTTAAAAAAAAAAAGAAGCCCTCAGCTGAGAACATGGTACCCTACAGTAGACTCTTTCCCTAACAAACTGCACATAGACCTCTTGCTGCTAACTGTTTGACTAAGCTCACAGGCCTCAAGTAAAAAATGCTGTCTTAGGATGAGGGAAGCAGAGGGCTGCCAACCACACAAAGAGCTGTGCATATCAGCTCTCTATTACAACTTTCTAGCACATCCCTGTGCCTAGCAGGCACTCAAACGTATGCTGAGGCTTGGTGCTCATAGCTCAGTGAGAATGGCGCCAGCCACATATACTGGCCCGGGCCTGCTAAAACAATGACAACTGCAGCCAAAAAATAACCAGGTGTTGTGTCCCAGCTACTTGGGAGGCTGAGGCAAGAGAATCGCTTAAGAAGTTGCCGGAGAGTTAGAGGTTGCTATGAGCTTGACACCACGGCACTCTACCAAGGGTGACACAGTAAGATTCCATTTCAAAAAAAAAAAAGAGCATATGCTGAACACATAGCAAGAAAGCAAAATTAAGCCTGTTTTTTTGGTTGTTTTTTTTTTTCTTTTGCTACTGGCATTAAGAAAACATATTGCATACCTTAAGATTTTTACAACTCTTCATCAAGTATTTCACATCATAAATGGATGGAAAGAAAAGGTTCAGGATATGAAAGAATTCATGTTCCTCTTCTGGCAAACGAGAATCTGTAAGCAACTTTACCATGTAGCCAAAATCATAGCCACTACAAGGAAAGAATAAAGCATGGAGGTAAAAAAGCAGCAACTACCAGCCCCAATGCATGTTAGGGACTTTCAGTGTTATAGTAGTTTACCCTGCTGTAATCCAAACTGTCTCTTAAATAACAAGACCAATATGGAAGAAAAAGGTTTATAAATGTCGATTTGATTCATCAAAAATCCAGGAGTGGCTTGGTGCCTGTAGCTCAAGTGGCTAAGGCGCCAGCCACATACACCCGAGCTGGTGGG